CCCCGCCCCCCCCCCCCAAAAAAAATAATAATGGAGAATCAAATAAATAATGAAAAAATGGAACGGAAACCCCAGCTCCCTGGTGCTCAAGGGGGCAGTGGGGACTGGCTCTCTCAACCCCTTCTTGGGATGTAGCTTGGACCTTTGAAATTCCTTTATACTCCTATTATCAGTACCTAAAGGGTTAAACCCTAAACCCTAACCCTTAGTAAGGGGCACCTTCCCTTCTTGGACCAGAGGATTTGAGCAGATATCCGGCAAGATGCATGCCCCTCATGCCTTCGGCCACTCCCCCTTGCAGTTTAGGGATTTAGGGTTTAGGAGGTTTAGGGTTCAGGGTTTCTCACCCCAAAGAGTAACAGGAGTCATAATTAGCCCCCAGCTGCTGTGCTGGCAACTGACCAAGCCCCGCCCCGAACAAAAACGAGATCCGTGGTCTTCATAAAGCTCCCAGTGGGGACCCCGGTGTGTAGCTTAGGGTTTGAGGTGGGCCCGTCCCTAAACCCTATAGCATGGACCCATCGCTGCTAAACCAAAGCTCCAAACGCGACATGCTGAACAGATAACCCCAATATACCATATAGTAGTTTCATGTAGTTTCCATTTTCTTCTCCATTATACCTATATAGCCCCAATATACTCTACAGTACCCAAAAAGGTCCATAAGTGTCAATCTGCGGATGCCTCTTAACCCTAAACCCTAAACCCTAAACCCTAAACAGGGGCCTCCGACTGCACCCAGGAGAAATTCTGAGAAGGCGTTGCTTCAAGAAAGCTTCAAAGGTACCAAAGAAATTTGTAGTTTCCCTGAATAGGGGAACCCAATAGAGACCCCAAAATACTATAATCTTCACTATATTCGAGAGCCCCCAAAAAGGCACCGTAAATTTTGGGAACCCCTAAACCCTGAACCTTGTTTAATATATATATATGTATATATATATATCAAACCCCTACATACCCCTATAATATATGCCCTGCAACCCCTTTGAAGCCACCCTAGTTGCCAAACCCCCAAGTACCAAGCCACAAGACTGACACTTGCCCAGAGGCCCCAGTTGCCATCCAAATCCTACCCAAAAGATCGGCCCTCGAGTCCTCAGGCGCTGAACCCTAAAACCCTAAACCCCAAACATCGCTATTCCACAAGACCCAGGTCATGCAACCTAGAGCTCAAATGCAGCAGCATCTATACAGAGTCTCATTTCAAGCTTTTTTAAGGTTTAGGGTTTAGGTTTAGTTTAAGGGTTTAACGGTATGCTATACCTTGGGTACTGCCCCCCCCCAGTAACAGTTGGATAATAATCATATTATGGCTATATATCGCCCTTAATCGGACCCCTAATATAGACTGTTACTGGGTTGGGGCAGTACCCAAGCTATACCACATTTATAAGGAACCTGAAGCCATAGTGTGAATGGCTACAAAAGAATCTAGTTCGTAGGGACTTAGGGGGGTGTTGGGGTGGGGGGTGTTAGGATCCATATTCCCTTATTAAGGCTTATCCAGGGCTTATTGGGGCTTATTCGCCCCCTAAGTCCCTATGACTAGTCCATGTGGGCACTGGAGTCAGAGGTATGCGAGTGGTTATTGCAGTGGTGGCTTCTGTCCGCGTACGATCCAGGTCAGTACTATAGAAACCACTTTGACAAGGAGCATGATTGTAAGAACTTCGGTTAGCGAGGTTGTTTCTTCTTCAGAAGCCTGCAAACATTAATATCAACTGTATGCTGTAAGCCCGGGAGGCCAGTGAAGGAACTGTAGAACTGGGCGATGAAATTAATATTCTTTTTCTAATATGCAGGCGTGGTGAGCCCTGTCCTTAATCCCAAAGAATTGTTGGCGTGCTTATGCGTATATTTTCTTCCGTGATGTACATTGCCATGAAGCTCCCGTGACATTTGTTATTCGAACAGTGGTCCGCAAATCGTTTTAGCGCTCTAGTGGCAAATTTATCAGGCGCGGAACATGCATTGGGTTGCTGCCATTTGATGCTTGCAAACGTTCAACCACATTGGCCTCGTAGCATGCGCGCACGTCTTTATCAACGGGTTGAGCCAGAGCTGCCAGTCCACTCATGTGCCTTTGAGGCATGTGACCCTTGGCGGACGGTGTTTTGAAGAGGTCTGGCTTGGGAAGTGCCCGCTTCGGATATCAGCGTTAGAAGGCGCAGAAACGGACGTGACTGCTAAGTTGTTTTGCATGGTCTCAAATGTCAAACTAAAGAGCTTGCAAGGTTTTGCAGCCCAACATTTTGTGAGGGATGTAAGATGCACACACACACACACACACACACGAGTCACTAGAAAAAGGCATTATTACGGCACAGCCCAGTTCGATCCGCGTTTCAACATGCAGGGATGGGACGTGATAAGATTCCTTCCCTTTTGTTTTTGGTGAACCTAAACACTGGAAACTGCCATTCACGAGGGCTGAGTTGCGTGATCGTTCAGCTGGACTTGTAAATAAGCTTCCGTGAGCGCACAGTAGTCATGTGGCATGCATGTGGCTGCTGGTCCTCATTGATTGCAAAGGCCAAAGAACAAATGCATTCCCAAACAATATGTTTCCATTCTGATGGTGTGCGCGAGTATCTTTTGGAAATTGGTGCCAGCTTTGAGGAGTCATGTGTGTCGAGGCAAGTTCTTGCAGAATTCTTGCAAAGAGGTTATAGCGTAAATCAAAAAATTGCGTGACGCTGCAAAGCACAAACTTCGGGGTGTTCTGCTCGAGAAGTTTCGCAACGGCTCGCGAACAGCCCATGCATTCAAATCCCCTCGCAGCACCATTGTTTTGGAGGCACTGGCTTCGAAGCTCGATGCGGCTGTTGCCACAGTTGCTGGGTGGGCGGCCCAAGGCTTTGTGTGGGCGTGCCGTGTGGGCTTGCCGGATGGGCAAATTACTTGAGCGGCGGCCAAGTGTGAGAAGACCCAGGTTCAGAGTCAACTAAGTTGGAGATTTGTTGATGTATGCTTAGGCTTCCTCAGCGAGCAAAAATGGTCTAAGTCGCATGAGTCGCCCACAAGTGGACGAGCAAGGAATTCATTTGTTTGATGGCGGTCATTTGAACAGGTTTATGTGTGGGCGTGCATATAGGTATTGCGCTGCGCAGTTTCGTACGCAGCTATCGAGAAGGTTGTTGTAGATCGCGTTGCAGCCTTTCATGCTCAAACATTGACCATACCAAACTTAGCTGCAGACTTAACTGGTGGTTCCTAGCAGAATACCTGAAGAGTATCGTCCTTTGATGTTCGCAAATTTTGTGATTATGCCAAAAGCCAGATCCAACCGTCAATTCTGGGGGCTCTAGCAGGTCTCATATGATGCTAGTACAGACTACATCATGTCAAAGATATTTATCTTCCATGCTTGTCAAGCCCAAAGCATGAGAGCCGTGTTTTCGATTTCGATTCTGGAGAGGGCTACAGGTAAGTCCCCCGACCCCTAAACCCTAAACCCTAAACCGTAAACCCAGTAGGCTAAAGCACCTTCCAGCTCAAGGTCTGGCGCCTTTGTGAGGCTGAACTACTTGTCTCCCAAGGATATTCAGAACGGTTTAGGGTTTTGGGTTTAGGGGCTTTATGTTTGGATTTGTTGGGGTTAAGGGTTTAAGTTTGAGTTCTTGGGCTTGCGGTGTTTGGGTGTGGGGTTTTGGTGTTTAGGGTTCAGGCTCTCAGGATTTGTGGGTTCAGGTAGTAAGCGCGGGAGGAATGTGAATTGGGTGTGCCGGAGGCGCAGAGTACGCACAATTTTCAGCGACCCCAAGCCCTAAACATAAAAAACGTGTCTTACAGTAGCCCTGAAGTCAGAGACACAGCATATGAGCACAAATTTGCACCATCAAGCCTAGAATACCCTGCATCATGACTCGCGCGACATGATATTTCTGATTACCGTGTTAGACATCAAACCAAATTAGGACTGATTAAAGCATGTGCCCAAAGACCCAGCCTTCAGACAACCTCTTCAGAGATCATCTAAATCCATTTCATGTCCAAGGTGTATCCTGCACATGGGCCCTTATTATGGCAGGGGTCCCTATATCTAGCATGCTCTGTAGTGCTTTTGGGTTCTTAGAGGGTATCACCGACACGGGATTTTGCTGGAGCGTGGCTCTTCCAATTCCGATGCGCGTCCGCAGTCCTTGTCTAGGGCTTCCTCACTTTGAGAACCAGCAGACCCACACTAATTTACTGCTATCATTCTGATTACTATGTGATTCTTAGTGTGATAGTTCCGAGTACTAGCAGTGATTGTTCTTACTCGTCTTATTGTGCTTACTCGAATTAATACTTGGAGGATGTTTGAGGCACCCTGGAGTTACCCACGGGTTCGGGAACATAGTGAGAGTTAAACCGTGCAATTTATCATAATGCACTTTTAGGAGGCTATACTATTTTACCGAGCTCCACAGTCCCGCAGAGTAAAAATGGATAGGACGCTGTGATGGATAACCTCGAGCAACTGGGTGCGGCAGCGAAATGGCCAGCGATTCAGGTGCGAGAAAGCCAACTCACGATTTGATCCCCAGAACCCCCGCCCGAAATTCTCCACGTAGGTACTACATACGGACTTTAGGCATAAGTAGGTCTTGATAATATTGAGCCCCATAGTACTGTAGGAGTCTCAGGCAGTACTTGGAGCGTCAAGGGGCCTAAATGATTATAAGTATACTTACACTCCCTGGAATACCAGCTCTTAATAATTATAAGTATACTTACACTCCCTGGAATACCAGCTTTTCCGATTTTGAACCTGCTTGATAAGGCCCCACGGACCCTCCAACAAGGAGGTCATACTTAGAAGTATTGACCTGCAGCTGTGCTGCAACACCCCTGCTTTGAAGTCTTTAATATTGGCTATTTGGTGAATGTAAATTTGTTTTTTTAGGTGAGTATGTATATACAAGGGTATTTCGCGTATGTAGAGTGATATAGAGGGTAGATCGAGGGTCTATGTGTATGTGCATACACATGTTATTGGTGTCCATGTTCCGCTCTATTTTACATTGAGAATTTGCCGTACATGCATGTAACCAGGGATGGCTTCTGTCCAAAGTAGAGGACCCTGTAGTTGGGTAGGCCAGTAACTTGCAACATTCTCCAAGTAAGCCCTGGACATGTTTGATTCAGCTAATGGTTTTCATGAGGCTGGTCACGGATTTTAATTTCGAATTGCTCTGCGTCTGGATTGCTGTCCTACATTGTGGAAAGTACGTGCTCGGCCAGTGCTTGTTAGGCTTGTACTTAGGTGCGCCTACACTGAATTATGAAAGTAGTTGTCAGGTAGGTTCCTAGATTTGAAACTCACCATCATTCCTGTAGGGTCAGGAGGACTAGGTAGCTATATACTCGTGCTTAGCACACCTATACGCCACACCATGACCCCGGTTATTCCCATCTTACCTAGGAGTCGCTAAGACCCTCCACGCAACCTTTCCGAACCAGGTTCCTGACTTTCCTCTAGGGGATTTCCCTAACTTGATTGTAATACGGGTCCCTCTGGTGGGATTCCTAACATAATATGGGTCCCTCGAATAATTATAAACGCTATCGCGCGCCCGCCTGGGCTGGCAAGGCGCGGAGCACACGAATAGGTCATGGTGTGTAATTGACACGTCGGGTTTAGGGTCGAGGGAGTATCGGAGGCAAGCCTCACTTCAGACGTGTTTGTTGTTCCAGCATTCATGCAGGGGGTTGGCTGGGCTTAGTCCATCAGCCTTGGATAGCCTCGGCGAATTTTCGCGGAGCAGTGAACTAGGCCAGGCTCCAGATCATGTGTATTTTCATTAACCCATTCCCCCCAACTGATGATGAGCCCGCCCACTACCAAATCCTCTAAGACTGCTTGCCTTGCAAAGGTCAAGATTATCTTGAAGGCTGACAGGAAGGGGGCCCGTTAGGGGTAAGTTGAGAATGAATACGGGTCGCGAGCTAGAAATGTTCCATCCGGCATTGAAGGGTCCATGTAGGTATATAGTGTACGCGTGGGCCCTACAGTAGATGTATGGGAACCTCTTTGGGCTCCAAGTATGTACTATATACCTACATGGACCTATTGGGTAAAATGACTTTGATAGGAATTGTGTTCCCCCTACACCCTAAACCCTAAATCCTACTAAGTCAACTA